GAAACTGTCGAAAGCCAGCTAGCGAGCTCGTGACCCGGGCCAGCTTTGACCTTGGCCTGTATTCAAGACTGCAGCTACGGATGCACCTACACGAATGCATCCGCTGCGCGTGGCTGTCGCACACACAGGGAAGATTCGCGTGTGCGAGCATGCACTTTGCCAAAAAAGGCAGGCTACCGCGTTCCTCAAAACTCAGGATCGTTCGAATCGAACTTCAAAATATGTCCATTGTTATCGAACAATTTAAAATTAACGCTTTCGAACCTATCGTAATGATATTTCAAAGCTAATCATTTCGAAGACACCCCACATAAAATAAAGAATATCAATTGTTTCCATCTCTTCCTAAATTGCTTAAATAGTCATCTTAAAATATATAATAACGTAGAAAGAGTGAACAGTCCGAATTTAAGGGGAATCTGCTAAGAATTAAGTAGAATAAGAAGGCTGACCATAACATCCTTGCATCTCTGGTCCAAAAAAGAAAAATCCTACGAAGATCGAGCAATAATATTCTCCTCCAGTGGGGGGGTCTCGACGTTCTTAAATGTTGACGGGTCCTAATTTGAGTAATCCAATTACAGAAGTAAATATTGAATTTTTCCGAACAAGTTCGCCGCGAATTATTTGCACGAATTCCGCGATGAATCACTTTTGAAAGCACCTGTACGCCGAAAGGCAAACACGTTCGAGCTTTTCCGAGTTTACGTGCGCAAGTCGAGCGTCCGTGTTGGTGTGTTTGCGAGCGCGCGGGTGTATAGATCGCTGCTGGTGGCCGAGCCGCTGCAGCCGTGCCAAGAATTCGCCTCTCCCTTGCCCTCTACCCTTGCACAGAGGGTGAAGCTGACCTCAGAGTGGAGCGTCGGTGCTTTCTCGACTACCGTGCAAACCTGTGGACACGTTATAACCACCGACACGCGCCCAGAAACTTTGCAGCTTCCGGTTTCCACGGAACGCGAGAACTTTCGTTTCAGTTTCGGATCGTGGTATCCAAAAATGTCGCGGATTAAAGTTGCTCGATCTCGAGGAAGTTAGGAGCGATTGGCTTCGTTCGTAATCAAGGTCATGCAAGGTCGCGTAAACTATTCAACAGGAACACTATTTGAACATGTGCTTTCAGAGTCTAGCGAATCTTTGCAACACACAGGTATAGTTGGACATTGATTTTTACAATGGAAAATTACTGGTGTTTGAGATACCATCGTGACTTATTGATATACTTTGGTCGGGAAGGGATTAAGAAGAATTATGTAAATATTGGTATTAAAGTTGCATCGCTCAGGTGCATCCAGGATTTATGAACGCGTTTAACGAGCCAGAATACGTCAAGCCCTTCACGGATATTGCAAAGGATTAGAAAACCATAATTCCCGATGATTAAACGCCAGTTATTTACAGTAGGGATTTGCCAACGAGTCGTGCATAAGCCTAATAACCCCAGCGCCCGTTCTGTCTGGCGTAATCGACTCCGAACCGAGTGAAATTAAGTCTGAGAGCAGGAAGAAAAACATTTGCTCGACAATTAGCCATAAAACGTTAGCGCGATGAAAGTCGAGTGGGCCAAACACTAGACGCGAATGGAAGTTCAACAAGTTGATATCGAAGATGCTATTTCACCTCGAGCATATTCCAGAAATCTGTGTCAGATTCGATGCAATTTCGTTCCTAATAAATGGAAGTGTACGTAACAGGCTAAAAGCTAGAATCGACGCGCTGAAAAATGCGGTTTGTTCCTATTCCCAGGGTGGTATTTCACTCTCGTCGATCGACGTCCTCGATTGTTTTTCGGTAATGCGAGGTAAGGCGAACGCGAGACGTTCCCGCGAGGAAAACAAGTGGAAACGCGGGCGAATCAATTTGCTCGAAGAAAAGAGAGAAATCAAGGACTCCGGAGTGATATTTACACGTCTCTCGGACGACGGTTCCTGGTGTTTTTTCAAAATTACGAACCCACTGTTATTAGTCCCGATCCATTTGGAAGAAAAACACCGCGTGGCTTTTAAAACATTTTCGACGATACGTGATAAGTCCAGGTGAAAAATCGAGGAAAATGGCACTCGACGACTAAATGATCATCCCAATTGCGAAAGTCCGACTGGCCATAACGCAAGGGTTGTTTGCAACCCGTGGATAAATTACTGCCGCTGCATAATGGTTCCCGGCTAATTTACGAGGATGGCTGGAGGGGGAGAAATTAAAGTTTTTCGCGTACATTTGCGCCGATGGCCGAGGTACCGTAATAACTCGTCTCTTCCATATTCCCCTGGCCGTTCCATTCTTTCCTTGCATCCTCTTTTCCCACGCGAGAGTCTATCTTCCGGCTTCTCTTTTCCGAGGCTCGAGACACGCGAAATCCCCGTGGGCGAAATCCGATTCTTCGACCACACGGGGGTAGGGGAATGGGGCTTGAAACTTTAACCGGGAAGGAGCGAGCCACGGACGATGGAGGCGGATGAAACACGCCCTGGGTTCTGGAGAAAGAGTGGAACGAAGGAAGAACTAATTGCAGTTTTGACTACTCCGAAGAACCGCGCCGGGGAACCCGCCGTTAAATATTGCCATGAATGGAATATTTCATTAAGTAAGGCTACGCGAAAGTTTCCGCGCGCCTTGCGGGCAACGCGAGGTGTATTCCGCCTCCAGCGTCCGCGAGGATGCTCTCGATATTCGCTCCATCTCCCTCAATTATCCGTCAGACGGGAAGAATTTCCAACGAACCAAGAAACTTCGGTGTCTTGTTCGTCTACGAGTCGTCCGAGTATGAAATCTCGAGGATTTACGAGGATCTACCCAGACGTGTCTTCTCGACGTCCGTGAATTCAACGACAACCATGAACCAAAGTTTGGAAACAACTGATAGCCGTGCGAATGAGACACAGAGCTAAGGTCCTGTTTCTAACCTAACCTGTGCAGGATGCAAGTACATGTGCTTTCGGTTGCCTTGGATCTTTGGCCTTTGCGTGGCTTCGTACTCGACACATGCTCTTGTGTGACTTGAGAGCATTGTATGCAGACATTGTTATACCTTATCTGACGCAGCCACGGTGTTTAGGTCTGTCTGGTCGCTTTAGAGCCTGTTACACTGTTCCACTGTTACGCTGTTACAGAATTTTTTTTGTAACGTTAAACCGGCCATTTGAAAATGTAACTTGTAAAATTAGAGGGATCCTTTCTTAATCAGAGTATAATAATATGTCACTATATATTTTAACGAGCAACGAAGAAATTTATTAACGAATAATTTCCAATTTTGATTTGCAAAAGAATGCCCAATTACCTGTTCACCAAGATTCTAAGATGGAAACAAAATTGTGAATAGATGGTCGAAGAATAAAACATTGTTCAAAAGTTTTTTAACAGATTAATACGTTCTACAGCGTTCTATTAATATTGTTAATACAGAATTAATATTCTCCGATTCGCGACTCGTGTTCAAACATTAATACATACGGCGAAGGTGGTCGGTACTTCCGTTCCTAATCCGTGTTTATGGCGAGTACCTAAACAGCTTTGCAGATCATTCTACAAGGATTGCTAGAGACTATCTACGAGCTTATGAGATCCCCGTGGTATGGAAACGCACGATGTCAAAGCTAATGCATCTCACGACATTGTACTACAACGCGACTAACAGGATACAATAGAATCACGTGAAAAGGAAAAGCTGAACTTTTTTATCAAACGCTAATATATCGAACAGTTGATAATACGATTCGTCGCTAAAAAATTATGATTAAATTCTCTGGCTTACTTTACGTTCGAAGCTACGGACGAAACAAGAAAACTCTTTCGAAAGTAACAGGAGAATTTCGAGGCAATCTACGCGAGTGGTGGATTTCGAATATCAACCACGATGATAACCCAGAGTGTTATCCAAGAGGTTTACGACCTATCGATGTCGAGGACAGGAACATGCTGGTATCCGTTGCATACGTAATGGTCCATCTGGACTCGCATCTGGAGTGCCATAGATGCTAATTAAACGCGGAAATTACGGGTCCTGCGAAGCATTAAAACAGAACCGTCTCGAACCGAAGTCTCCCGGCGTGTTTCGATCGACGGAGGACGCGAGGGGGGGGTATTGTAAATGGTAACGAAACCCCCGAAATTCACGCGATGCTCGACTGACCTTAACCCGCGTTGTATCCGAGAGCGCACGTAGGAACGAGTGGAAGCTGGTCTGGCGCACCGGAGACTAGTAGGGGGTACATAATGTGTCCAAACCAATCCTGTCTCTGGCAGGCGGACCGATTCGATAAGCTCTTAATCCATCGGCAATTAATCCGTACAGTAGCCCACCACCGCAACCCCTTCGCTCGCTCCGCTTCCTAAACCTGCGGCCCACCCCCGAAATCACCGTTGTCTCTGTCTGGCTCCTCGAGTGGTCAGCCTCTGTTGTCCTTCTCTTTCCCGCCAGCTAATTCAACAGTCCCTGTGACTGTATAATTAACCACCGGCGGCTCGTGTGTGTTTATGCACGGAATGCGGTCCCGACTCGTCCGCGATATTCACGGACCAACGATCCCGACAATAACGAAAGACATCCCATGACCAGTTTATGGCTTGGAAACTTTCTTTCCGCGAGTGGACGCGCTCGACCAATTTTCGATATATGTACAGACTGAGTTTGGTAACTGTAACGCGTTCCTATCGAACGTGGAACAAAATCGCAGGGGGACAATTTGTATCCACTCGTTTATTGCACCCCCTGAGCAGCATTTTCTTAGCTAACTTTAGAAATTTTTCCAAAAAAAAAGAGGATGCTCAGATATTTGGGCGATTCTTTTTTAAAAGGAGCATACGTGACATATTCTGGATCCATATTTTCCAGGCGAATCGAGGGAACGAGTTTCCCGCGTGGGAGGAGGAAGGCGAACGGGAACAGTTTGCGCTCGAAGAATAAAAGAAAAGGTAGAAGAGACTTGAAAAGAGCACGGTAGGGAACATCTACTCGGTAGTTTCGTCGTAAAGAGGGGAAAGCATACTTCGAGAGAACTTACCGTGATACGTCCTCCTGAGAAACAGCTCGTGGCGTGGTTGCACCGTGAAGCGCGAGAGAAGACGCGTGACGTGATTCTTGCGAGTACGGCAGGGTCGAGTTGTTCTCCAGCGCCGACACAGAGCCATTTTGTTTTCCTGCGAAGGGAGGGGGAGGGACAAACAGAAAGAAAATAAGCAATTTGGTTACTTTTATGCGCGGTCGACAGACATTACAGTTCTTAACATATAAAATACCATTGTATGGCGTTTTTATGGTTTCATTTTATAATGGAAATCGTAATTTTTATCGAACAAATAACGAAATAAGAACTTTCAATTATTTTAATAATTCAATTATTTTAATTTAAAAACTCGACGTTAATTCTCGATAAAACTTTACATTCGAGCACCGTGTATTTGTGTCTCGAGACCTTGTTGGATTTCCCAGGGGAATCAGCGTCGTGGGTAACGATGAATTTAATTTAAAATCTAAACAAATTTATTTAAGAAAATTGAAACGCCCCAAAGACACACATCCATCCGCAATTTCCGGGCGGATCAACTCTTTAAAGCGTAATTTGAACGTAGGAAGATAAAACCGGCTGGTTTACCCGGTTCCAAAGCGTTTCGCGACGATGACGACCGCCCAGCGGCGGTCGGGAAATGGGTCGCGATCCGGTCGCTGCCGAGGAACCCGGGGAAGAATTTACGAGCACGACTTTATGAGCGTGATGAATAAGTTACGCTTGATCGTCAGAGCGGACAGGAAAACGGGGAATCGTAGAGAAGTCAGTGGGATCAAAAATTCATTTCTACGTTGGGAATGGAGATCCCGTGTTTATGATCACTGTGGGAGACGCGGGAATTGAAAGAATTACGGCGCAGTTAAACTTGGACGGAATGTTCACCGGACGAGCAATTGATCGACCATGCAACATCAAATAACGCGTGTTTCCACGATACTCGCGACCAACGAAATAAAATTTTACAATTATCAAATTCGAGTCGACGATTCGATGATGTGCTTCTCAAATATTTCACTCTGTTCTTGTTATTATAATGTAAAATTTACGTGGAACATTTAAAATATATTTTTAAATTATGAATAGAATTCGAATCTTAAAAGAAGGATAGAAAAATGTTTCGAGGGACCCCTCGATGATCGAATCGGAGTAGAATCGCGTTGGTCGCGGTGCATATTTAATTTCCGCGACAGCGAGACCGCTAAACGATGAAACAGCGAAATCCCAAAGCGCGAGACGGTTCCGTTTCGAATTTCAAAGCTGGAGCAGAAAAGAGTTCCCTCCGGCGTCCAGCGTCACGAACAAAAGTAACGCCACGACGGTTTTCCGCGGCGCGTGAAATATTTATCGTTCCGGAAGGCGGCGTCATGAAAATTCGAGAAGAAAAGATCGTGAAAACGTCCCCGAAACGACGAGGGGGAAAAGTCGCGGGTACACGAGAGCGAATAATGTATGTGAATAGAAAAAGGACAGTGGCTTACGTGGTTGGGGCGAGAGTGAATTGTCCGAGGCCATCGGGGGTGGTGGCGGGGGCACGATTCCGGTTTCCGGTTTCGCCACCAGAAGAACCACGCGGTCCTGGGTGGCCTTCAGCGTCGCCACGGCTTCTTCGTGCGTTACGTTTTCGAGGTTTTTGTCGCCCTGCTGGAATTAAAGGGATCCTCTTTTTTATCTTTGATTTGCACCATCCAAACACCACGTGACAAAGGAGCGTTTTTTTCATTCCTGCTATACATGCAAATTTCGATGGTTCAAAGAGCAATCCAAGGAGTAACTCTAATTCGATAAATAAACAAGAATTAAATATTCAACTAAATTTTACTTTTATCTTAAATTTGAATTTAAAAAATCCCTGGACATTCAGAGTTCAACTTTCCTAGTAAATACACCATCGTTGGTCCATTGCTCGTGTCTCGTTAAAATCGGATCAACGAAACACAGTTAATTACACGGAGGATTTCGAGCCCGTCTGGATCGCTTCTATCATCGTTCTTCCTTCGCGTAAAGTATTTCTCTTCATTCATATCACTGTTCATTCATCTTAATTTCTTAACCTTATTCCCTTTCAGCGCGGTCCCGACTCCGGCGCTTTATTTTTCGCCGAGGAAAGGCGTGAAAAAAGGTAGGAAAGAAAAGTTCGCTAGGAAAATGTAAACCGGTCACGAGTATCGATCAAGATTTACCGGGGGCTCGGTAATTGATTTCTTCCGTTCAATTTCCACTATCAATCATCTTCTATCCTTTGCCTCTCTCGTAGACCACTCCGAGATGGATTGCTGAATAAATATTGCGAGACTACGCGTTTCAAGTTTGTCTGTCGCTCTTATTACTCCAAACATTTATATTCGAACGTGAGAAGCGTACGCCATACGGGCGTGCGATGCATCTTACTTGCGAAAAGAAACCTTTTTCCGCGAAATTGAACCTCTGTTTCACCGATGAATGAAATATGAATTTATAGTTTAGCTTCGAGGATCAGAAATTAATATTAATTCTAAATTTCTACGACGATATGTTCTTCGTATAATACGACGAAGATTGATCGCAGAGAAAACTAAAATTTTAATTGACGGTGGATTTTTGGGTCGCGATAAACAAGAGGATGAATATCCTCCGCAGCTGTACAAACAACGAGAATAAATCTTCCGGTGCGCTGTATTTCAGTTTTTTTTTCTACTTTTTTCCTTCCCCTCCCGGTTCACAGTTATTCGTCCAACGATGCGCAGGCCGCGCGTGAAAAACGAAGCGCAGCCCCGAAGAGGGGACCCAGCACCGTGTCTCGCGTGTATGGTAATTATCCAACGTAGACCGACACCTCGAAAAAAAAAGCTCAACATCGAGGAAATTTCCGGGCGTCATAAACAACTGACGAACTTCCTGCACCGTTCGTTGTTCTCAAGTACACGCCGACACGCAATAGCGCGGAAAGTTAAATCGACTTGCGATCTGCCGCCTAGAGCGACCCCCCGGAAACTTTTAAACAAATCGTTCGACCCGAAACGTCCAAAGAACCCCCATCGATCGCGACATCCGAACGCCAATTTATTGCAGCTTCTGTCAATTGTTTAATAAAACCGAATCGTTCCAACGCGTTGAAACTTAAGATTTTTTTTTTATTTTATCGTTGAAATAAATTGATTTGATTTGTGACTCGTTGCAGCAAAAATTCATTTCTGGGATAAAGTATCACGCGAATTTTTGAAACTTTCAAGTCATCGCGACGAGACTTCCGAGTCACGGTGTTCGCGCGTTTTAAATCGTGGCTGCCGCGGGTTATAAATCAACAGGGTCGATGCACCCGAGTTTTAATCGCGACTTTTTTCGGTTCCGTGTCTCAGGAGAGGACGGGCGAGAAGAAAAGGGCGACCGACGAGGCGAAAAATCACGGGAGCTTGCGAAACGACGAGGCTCGCACCTGCAACCACAGCAACGAGCCGTAACATCGCTGACGGAAGAGCTATCAATTACTCGTCGCCATCAAAAACCACTCTCAACTATTTCTCGCGTCCCCCGACTGCACGGATCCAGGATTTTTCGAAATACACGACGAAGATCATAATTTTTGCGATTCACGAAAATTTTATGAGTTTCGTTGTTCGTTGTTGAGAAGATCCATCAGTTTAGCTCATCAATTTAACCGTATCGAATGCTCCATTTACGGAGACCAAGAGTGCCCTAATCGCGACCACATGCGTACGGGCTGTCGTTTTTTTCCACCGGATGAAAAATGAATCTGTTCCTCGCGCGGAGTCTGCTCTGCATGAGAACTCGCCTAATCAAGAACGCGCATCTCTTAGACGTACGTTCATAAAAATCGAGAATCATCAATCACCGCGAGGAAATCTAGAAATCGCTAAACTCGATCTTCCGAGTACGGTTTCGGTCGAGTTCTATTTCCTATCGAGAAGTACTGGAAACTGACTCCATCTTGGGTGTTTAAAAAAAAGATGGAAAATAATTGATGGGGCAGTTAAAATAATTCTTTTACGGTATTTGAAATAGTGGAATTATGGTTCGACGGTAATTTATGGCGACGATAGAAGCGACGCGGGGGGATAAAATCAGGTCGGACGGAATATAATTTTGCTTCAACTCACCAGAGCATTTCTGACGGCTACCAATTTGTCTCCAACTACAAGACGGCCGTCCACTTGCGCGGCGCCGCCCTCCATAATTTTCGTCACGTAGATTCCATTGTCACCGGGTATATGCTGATTGCCAATACCACCGGCGATACTGAAACCGAGGCCCTTGTTACCCTTAATTAGCTCGATTTCGATCAGCTGCGTGCATCTCCGTCGGCGTACGTACTGAAAATTAATGAAGAAACGTTCTTAGACGTAAAAAATATAAAATTATATTTTCATGGCAAAAATTTTTGATCGAAGAACTAAATAAAACGGAACAGAAAACCAAATCGAAAGCTCGAAAATTAAACACGATGTTTCGAACGACCAATATCTATACATTTTATAAATTATTGAACACAATAGCTTTCAATCGTGCAAATTAATCGGGAGCCGATCATTTCATAATTAGATGATCAACGAAGTCGAGCACTTTCTGAAATTAAATGGAAAATTGCGATTCGCCACTTCGCCCACGCTCGACCGAATCGAATTTAAGTGGACAGAATTTACGTTTTCATGGGGGTAGTTTCGTATCCCGGAATAAATCGCACCCTCTCACGGTCGACGCGATGGGGCTCTCGTGCGCGTGGCGCAACAATGAATCCACCTAATTAAATGTCGATCCAAAGGCCAACGTAGAAGATACCCCACTTCTCTCCTCGAGTATTTCGTCTCGTTCGCTCGAGTGATTTACAAGCTGGATCCACCCTCGAGATCGTAGCTTTTCCCAGCCACCGGTAAAGTAATACTCGTTTCGAATTTTTGCTCGTCGTTCGTTCGATAAAATTTTGTCAATCTTCGAGAAGTATACCGAAATAAATTTAATCAAAGCCGTTCTCCGACCGCTAATCACTTGGTAAGTTTCGAGCAACGAGTCCTCGAGGGCCCCCCCCATGCTTCGAAGATATTGCGACCAGCCTGGGTACGCGGCGAAATAATAATATCCGGCTCGTAAACGGTTTTACGCTTGCCTCGTCCATGTTTTCTAGCCACTCGAAAAAGGTTAATAACGCAACGGCTGACACGAACACGACCGGAGGGTATATCAAAAAATCCCACCGCCTTCGGAACACAATATTTTCAGTTTGAAACGACCGCGTTAAACATCGAGCCACATCGCGTGCACTCGAAAATTTATTCGGGTCGCGTTTCGCGCAAGTTGCCCGAAGCGTTCGCGAACTGAACTCGTCTATTCAAATGCTAACTCCGCCGCGCCGTGGCGAGGCATTTTAAATCTATCGCGAGCACCTCGTGACGCCATTACGGTATTAATATCTTCGCGCGGTGGAAATCACATATAAAAAAAAATCTCATTTTCCAACCGTTTAATCAATTAAAAATTTTTACGTTTGGCTCCGCATAATTTGTTGGAAAAATTATGGACACGAATCTTCTATTTTCTCTTCAAGAATTGGGAATTTTTTATTTATTTTAGCGTCGGTTGTTGCGTTATGAGGTATCGTCGTAGCTAAAGAAACTCGAACGACGGGCATTATTTCGCGAAGAAGAGCTGAAATCTCGGTTTCCCGCAAGATATACAGCTCCCAAGCATTGTCGTCGTTGGCGATTATCTCGTGTCGGGCCAGCAGATAATAATTGCACCGTCTGAAACGGATTCTTACCAGCTGAGTCAGTCCCCGCCGTTCGAAAATACGTTTTAAATCTCGCGCCCGTTTATTTGTTCTTCTCAACGAGATTATACGACTTCGTCGGATCGAATATCTTTTTGCTGGATGAAAGCAAGTAGGAGAATTTACCGAGCGGGTCTCCTTCTTGCGATTATTACGAACAGAAACTCTTTTTAATAGTATCGCGATTGTGAAACGGAAAAGAAAATTTCTTCTATCGTCTGTGATCTTAAGCTACAGATTCGTGAAAGTATACGTCGATTTTTTAAATTCTATAGACCAAGGATAATTATTAAAATTATGAAAGCAATTAGATTTGTTCGTCGAATATTCTGTTCGTAGATGAGCAGAAAAATTCAGAATGGAGCAAGTTGAGGTTGCATTAGCCCGTAAAGTACATCCTAACGTCGTCGGAGAAATCCCAATGAGACAATCGCTCAGGCGACGTCGGTCGTAAGTCGTTAGGGTTGCGGGCACAGTTTCTGAAGAGTAGTTTGTTACGCGTTCCCGGAATGTGGGTTAATTTAATTTCCCGAGAGAAAGGTGGTCGATTTTGGCAGACGCAAAGTTCAAAAATAAATTTGAAATTCATCGGAGATAAAAAATATCAATATCTCGGATACAATTGATCATCCCTTAGTGCCCACTGTATCAAATATAATGGTAATACTTTTAAACGTAATCTACCAAGTTTATAATATTCCATTAGATCAACACAGAAGAATTTTTCAGAAAAATTATGTACTTTTGATTCGATTTGTTGCGGTGATTCTGACCACCGAATTATAGCTTGCACTATTTAGGCAAGTACTTAATTATTTCACACGTATCTGGCGGAAATGTGTCCAAATAATACTGACATATAACTGATAATATATAGGGTGGAATACTCTATTTACTCGTTCATCATAATTTTCACCGGGATAATTCCTACCCGTCCATTTGTCTTCTTTCAAATTTAACATAACATTTTTTACCTTCGGGGTGGCTTATCAACCGGATAAATAAAAGCTAACTAATCGATTATTTGTTTATCCACTTTGACTTTCGATTCAAGAGAGATCAAATTGAAAAATTGATAATTAAAAATATGAAAATGAGATATTAAAAACTTACTAGTTTGACGGTGTTGCCTGCTCGTTTGAGGGCGTCGACGGCTGCTGCATGGGGTACGTCGACAACGGACACATCGTTCACCTGAAGTATCGTATCGTTGACGCGGAGACGGCCGTCCGCGGACGCAGCTCCGCCAGGTATAAGTTTCGTGATGTAAATGGCAGTGTCGGTGCCGAAATGAGGATTATCCGTACCCCCGGCGATGCTGAACCCAAGCCCCGCCCCACCCCTCTCGAGGACGATCTCCTCGTATTCCCAATCATCGTCACCGTTTACCTGAAACAGCCACGAATGTTCGCGTTAAATTCCAGCCACGCGTCAGCCTTTTTTTTCATTAACGCGCGTGCAACTTCGTTCCAATTAGTTTAAATATCGTACCACGACGCGGTAATACGATTTAATTCCCGCGCATCGGAACACGGTTCAGAAATGATCAAAGCCTACAAAGGCTAAGCTACTTAAAGAGTGCAAGTCGTGTTTGCATAAGTACGGTACTTAGTAACTGCGTCAACGGGTTTGAGAATTGTATAGAATTACCCTGGGCGCAGCGTTCGTAAACTACCTGACCAAAGATTATTAACATAATCGTATTACTGGAAATATTCCAAGTACCAGCCGTGCAATTTAGAAATTGCAACGATGCGATGATTTTAATATCTTCTATCTGTTCCACGGTGATTTTAGGTCCAAGTGAAACGTACAAAAATTAACAAGGATGAAAAAAAATGAAAGGATCTCGCAAACCAGAGCGAATAATGCGCGGCTCGGTGCAACAGAAAGCACAGATTACACTGGCAACCCGGTACGGGTCAGTTCCTAATTACATAAGGGACTAGGTGTCCCGCAGAGCGAAGGAGTTAACTGGTTAATTGATTTTGAGACCCGCAGAGGAGTAGATTAGGTCGCGGGGAAGCTTGGGATCGATGTCGGTTATGGTAGTTATCGCGGCTGGCGTCGTGCAACGATGCAAAATTTTGTGAAAAAACACTCGTCGTTTCTGCACCCCCTTTGAATTCAAAGCTACCATCCCTGGGGGGATTGCAGCTTCTCTGATGGGGGGGAATAACCCCCATGCCTCGGGGGATGGGATTTAAGGGGTGTTTCGAAACGCGTCTCGCGTTTGGTATCGCGATGACCCCGTGCGCGCAATCACGCGCGTCCACGACAGATTTGACACACGCGGCAACATCAGCGCATATTGCCTGCGGAATCGCGAATTAATCGTCCCGAATTACCATTCTATGGACCCCAGCAAGGACAGATGGAACGCTGTAAGGGTCGTAGCTGGAGGTCCCTGTTACGCTGCTAACGGCCCCCCGATGCAGGCGCGACGTTGACATTACGATGCAATTATGGCGGGCAACTGGTCGGTCGGTTAATCGACGATTAGCGACTGCACCACGGTGAATGGAATCGTTCATTAATCAGGCTACGTTTCCGCCCCGAGAAGAACCGGTTCGCGCGCGAGAGAGATCGTTTGGTCATCCGGGAAGAGCGAAATATAGCCACGAAACCATCCATCGTTGACACAAATGGTGCTAGCAATAGTTACTCGATGGACTAACCAGTTTCTACGTTAATTAATTCTAGTCTTTGATATTAATGGTATCGGAAGATTAAGAAATTGGTATTTTTTAAAATTGTTCCTTTCCTATCGTAATAAATTTATTTCCATAGCGAAAGACAATTGATATTTGCCAGATAGCGTTCTTTCCAAGAGCACACTTGTAGTAAAATTGTTGGCAAGTTGTAAAGTTGAACACGATAGCCGCGAGGACAGCTGTTATCGTGGTTTCTACCGAGTTAAGACGCAAGAATCGTGATAACGATAAATTTTCCTGTATACGTAATATTCTGCTAAAAACGTGACCCCGTGATACGAAGAAAACTACACCGTGGTTTCTGAGATAAAGTAAACGAATTGTGTTTCATGGTCGGTGATGACCGATGAAACGTCAATTATTATGATATGTAATCGCGTATCAATGTATAGATATTCCAATGGCGTCGATAAACGTAACGATGGAATTTCGATAGTTGCTGGAAAACGGGGCTAAACAAGTATGGAGATTTGCGCAATTATCGGAATAACCCATCCATTAAAAGCCCCGGTTACACAATATATCCCTATCTACAGTACATAGATTGACCTCTCGTGTAATAGTTGGTCTCTTAATCTGCTTTCGTGTCGAACGAAAGACACGACACTTGTTGCTGGATTATTCCTTCCATTGGTCGACACGTTGTAACAGACGGGCAATGGAAACATCGAGATTTTAGATTGTATATTTGGAAAACCTGTCGACGAGTTGTTCTCGATATAAAAAAATATTATCAAGTCTCCTCTGCTTATTTTCTTTGAATCATTTCGCTTTCTGGATACGTATCTCTGTTGCATAATTTTTCTAAGACGGTTTTACAGACATTACACGACGTCTAAACGGTTCGCGGCTAAAAATAAAACGAAAATTACGTACGGACGTAAAAACTATAAACGATTCATTAAAAAGTTACTCCGACGATAGAGCGAGCTCTCTACGCGCGCATAAATCAGAAACGAAGTCCACGTATTCTTCATCTGAAAATACTTCTGGCAATTTTGAAGATCGCGAGCAGTTTATTCGCCAGCCAAAATGTAACTGAAAGTAAACTGTTACCAAAGTGTACAATTCGCGATCGCATCGGATCGTTTCGAAACAGTAAATATAGCTTTCATCGAGAGATAATATAAACATCGTTGTCCTGTATCTCGTCGAGCAATGAGAATGAGACTGTTACCGTTTCAATCTATGATTAAAAATTTAGCTCGAGCAATTATGGACGTTTCCACGATAATATTTCACTTAATATTTCGACGACTTTTGACGAATAAATTTGATAGAGAAATTATTAAACTTCCTATTATTCGTAAGATTCCTCGAAAATTGTGTACACATGGATCAATGACCGATCCAAGGAGCATAATGTAAGACGATTTACCATTTTATGCGGCCCGTTAACCATGGTGGCTGTCATCGTGCGTGCTGTCCCGACGTCGTTAACAACATTTTAAATCGTCGATAACGACATTAACGGCGCCTCCGGCCGACAGATCCAAGCGAGAGTCGTATAATTCAAACTCTTCGTTCACATTCACCGAGTTCACTTGCACCGGCGTCCATCGAATATCGAGATCACATTTGAAGACGCCGGGGTGCCATTATATTTATCGCGCTAATGCACCCACCGCGCGGCAAAAATTTCGTTCGCCAATGGATCGACGCACTGCCTCGAAAGATGCTCGAATCTTAAAACCAACGAATCGCTATACCATTCGTCCAAGTTGAATCCCATTAAAATTCTTTTCAATTATATTTTTCCACGATTTTGTAATGTTTCTTATATATCGGAAGATTGGCGAGGTTCAACAGATGGAAACGAGTCCGAACACAACCTCGAGTTCGAACTATTTTTAATTCCCCGGTGTTTGGCGCGCTCCGATCATTGTCGCGCGAGTAACATTTGCATTTGGATCTATTTTCGCGATGAAACATTTAACATTCGTCGCTGGACTCATCTCGTCGAACGGTAGGTCGAAACCTTTAAAAAATCACCAACGACCGCGAGCATCTTTCGAGGCAACGTTCCGCGCGCGAGAAAAATATCAGCTTTTTCGTCGTCCCGTGAAAGTAACGCAGAAATCACGTGGATTATTTACGACGCGGCCCGGTAACGTACTATCAAGTGTATAATCAGTATCGGGGCGTTGCGTAACGCCGCGGAAAATTCACGCTGAGGACGGAGATTAATACGCCGCTGACGTTTGCATAAATTTATGCGGCTACCTTGCGCGAAACGCGGTAAAGGTCGAGGGTACCCCTCGCGTCCGAAAATTCTCAAACTTCCTCACCGTTACGACCACGGTATACCCCGTGACACACAGCACTCGCGATTTATTCGAACGAAACGATATTAATTTCTGTCCTCGACGGGAAACTGGCGGAAGAGGCGTACGTCGCGGGAATCCGGCTTCCGCGTCGAGCGGACACGGCACCGTCAGCCTTCCTCGAAGGCTGGAAATCGCGAAACTGCGACAGTCCTGTCACGACGAGCAAGAAGTAACGTTATCCGGTCGCGTTCTCGTTTCCCGCGGAGCGTCACACGCTCGAAACTGGCGGACGTTTCGACCGCGACTCTCGGCTGTGCTCGCTCGCTCGCGCGGCGGCAGTCATCGCTATTATAATATTAGACCAGTGGCCGACTATTTCCAACCGACTGTGAAAATATACCAGCGGCACGCGTACTGCACGGCGAATATACGAGTACTGAAATAAGCCCGTCCGTGGTCAGTCACACGGCTCGAACACCGAGACCCGCGGATTTATGGTCCCCCGTCGATGACACGTTCTCCTCGCTTCTTTTATTTCCACATCATACGATACGAAGGTTTCTTTCAAACGGATGCTGCCGTCGAACCATTTCGAATCGTTCTTTTCACAGACGACATTGAAATTAATATTGTATCGTACGTTTCAAGTATTACGAGGTAGCTATGGTTAGTTTCGAAAAGACGAGACTGGACAGCCACCGCAGAATGAAGATGCATTTTATTTCCCCGTTAATGGGATCGATATTTCGATTGGCGTGCACCCGGTGTTTACCGTCGAAGATTTCCCCAATTTCCATAAGCTTGGGATTAATTCGGGCACCCGACGACCGCCAGTAATTCCGTTAGCAGAATTCGCGGAAGTTCGAGGGATGGGTATCCACGTGTGCTGCATGGATGTGGCGTTAAAGACCAACACGGTGGTCCCGGAATCTTGGCTCGGGAAACTCCGACGGGCCGAGTCCGTGCCGTTCGTGTTTCGAATTAACATCGCGACTCGGAACTGTCGGCTATATTCGTTGGCCTTTGTAGGAACGCGGCTCCCAACCGCGGGTAAAGATAGCCACGTTTCGTGGCAAATAGTCGTGATTTCGGGCCGCGGCGACCTTGAAAGTAATTACCCTCCCCACCCGGACGATTTAATTTAGATTAATTCGACGCCATCGACGACCGAACTTTCGTTATTTTTCTCTGTAATCATCGAACATCGATACGACAAATAAAATACTTAATGCTAAAATTTCATTATTTCCTACCTAAAAGCAAGTTTGGCCGCGCTTTTCACTTTGTACACATTGAATTTTTAAGCAGATAACTTCAGCTTCCGTAGCTGAATATTACGAAAGTTATTCCAACAAGTAAAAACCCGTGGGTCGACCTTTTCGTACCTTCTAAGGGGTTAAAAGCCGCT